TTTAGCAAGTGTCAGTTCTGGCTAAACCAAATTAGCTTTCTCGGTCATGTAGTATCTGCTGAGGGGATTAGTGTGGATCCTCAGAAGGTGTCAGCAATAACTACGTGGGAGCAACCGAGGAATGTTACTGAAGTGAGGAGTTTTCTAGGTCTGGCTGGCTATTACCGAAGATTTGTTAAAGGTTTCTCAGCCATTGCCTTACCTCTGAATAAGTTGACTCGAAAGGAAGTGGAGTTTAAGTGGGATGAAGATTGTGAGCGGAGTTTTCAGGAACTGAAGCGATGTCTTACTCAAGCTCCCGTTCTTACTCTTCCAGACGATAGCGGTGAGTTTGATATCTACACGGATGCATCCCTATCAGGTTTGGGTTGTGTACTGATGCAGCATGATAAAGTCATTGCTTATGCTTCCAGACAGCTTAAAATTCATGAGAGAAACTATCCCACTCATGATTTGGAGCTCGGTGCAGTGGTTTTTGCTTTGAAGATCTGGAGACATTACTTATACGGTGAGAAGTGTCGTATCTTTACTGATCATAAGAGCCTCAAGTATATCTTTACTCAGAGAGATTTGAATTTGAGGCAGAGAAGATGGATGGAACTTATCACTGATTATAACTGCACGATCGAGTATCATCCCGGACATGCCAATGTAGTGGCAGATGCACTTAGTCGGAAATATCATGGACAGCTTGCATCTCTCCAAGCTATTCATGTTCCACTACTATTTTCTCTTCGAGAAACAGGCTTGTCGGTGAGACCGGGTGAGCAAGGAGCGTGGTTGGCAAATTTCCAAGTTAGACCTGTTTTGGTGGATATGGTCATAGAAGCTCAGGAGCTTGATCAGGAGAGTGCCAACATTAAGGTCTCGGTGGAAAAAGGAAAAGAGAAGCATTTTATCATCCGAAGTGATGGAGCCTTGATGTGGGAAAACAGATTGTATGTTCCTCATGATAACGAAGCAGTGAAAAGAGCAATTCTGGATGAAGCACATCTGTCAGCTTATGCCATGCATCCGGGAAGTACTAAATTGTATCGCACTATCCGTCCTTTCTATTATTGGTTGGGAATGAAGCGGGATGTGGCGGATTATGTGAGTAGATGCATCATTTGTCAACAGGTGAAGGCAGAGAGGCAAAGACCGGGAGGATTGATTCAGAATCTTCCGATACCAGCATGGAAATGGGAAGACGTCACCATGGATTTTGTGTATGGTCTGCCGAGGACGCGGTCGAGATTGGACGGCATATGGGTAATTGTTGATCGACTGACTAAGACTGCTCATTTCTTGCCTGTTCGACAGACCTATTCAATGGAGAAATTATCGAAGTTGTTTATCGATAATATTGTTAGACTTCATGGTGTACCTGTCTCTATTGTTTCAGACAGAGATCCCAGATTTACTTCCAGATTTTGGAAAGCTTTTAATACTGCCATGGGTACTCAGTTGCTGTTTAGTACTGCTTATCATCCACAGACTGACGGTCAGTCCGAGAGGACAATACAAACATTGGAGGACATGTTGAGAGTGTCTGTTCTTCAGTGGAAGGGTAGTTGGGATAGCTATCTGCCGTTGGTTGAGTTTGCATACAACAACAGCTACCATTCGAGTATTGGTGTGGCACCTTATGAAGCCTTGTATGGGAGAGTGTGTCGAACGCCGTTGTGTTGGGCAGAGGTCGGCGAGCGAGTATTGTTGGGACCGGAGATTGTAGACACTACCAATGAGAACATCCAGCTGATAAAGAGAAATCTCAAGGCAGCTCAAGACCGACAGAAAAGCATAGCGGACAAACATTCAAAAGATCGTGAGTACAAGGTTGGTGACTTTGTATTCTTAAAGTTATCTCCCTGGAAGGGTGTGGTTCATTTTGGTAAGCGAGGAAAGTTGAGTCCTCGATATGTTGGTCCTTATCAGATTACGGAGAGAATTGGTGCAGTTGCCTATAGATTGGAGTTGCCACCGGAGTTGTCTCAGATTCACAATGTTTTCCATATTTCTATGCTTCGGAAATATGTATCAGACCCCTCTCATGTTATTCAGCTAGAGCCGCTCAAAGTAAGTCCGGATGTTAGTTATGTTGAAGAACCAGTGGCTATTCTTGACCAGCAGAATAAAGTGTTGAGGAACAAGGTTATTCCGTTGGTGAAAGTGCTGTGGAGGAACCACGCTACTGAAGAAGCGACGTGGGAAACAGAAGACCTGATGAGGAGTCAGTATCCGTATTTATTTGCTTGAAATTGTAATTTCGGGGACGAAATTTTTATAAGGGGGGTAGATTGTAACACCCGCCCCCACTTATAAAATTATATGTGTGTAATATTCCCTAAATATTCTGAATCTATCAATTTTACCCTTTTTGGACTACCCTATCAGGATCTAAACATTGGATCCTTCCTTCTTTTCAAACTGCCACGTGGCAGCTCCCTAGCAATTTCCCTTTCTTCTCTCTCTGTCCCCCCCCCCCGTGACTTCTCCTTTCTTTCTTCTTCTTTTTCTGTTTTCTTTTCTTTCTTCTGTCTGTCTCTCTGTCTCTCTCGGCTCTCTCTCATAGCTCCCTCATCTCTCTTCTCTGCAGCAACCCGCACGCACGCACCCGCCTCCCCGCGCGAAGAAGACCCATCTCCTTCTTCTCTCTCTCTCTGTCCCGTGTTGCGAGCCCAGAAACCGGAGAGGAACTCCGGTGAAACCCTTAAGACCTTTCGGCCCAACCCAAATTCAAAGCCCAGTGGACTTTGACCTCTGACCAGTTGACTGTTGACTGTTGACTTGGTCAACGGTCAACGGTCAGAGTTGACTTTGACGTTGACTTTGACCGGTCAACGTTGACTTTTTGAGTTGACTTTTCGGGGTTTCGTTCAGGACCTCTCCTAGGCTATTTTCGACGTCCTGGACCCGTTTTTGAAGTCCGTTTTCTCAAATTAAATCGTTTGAATAGAGTTTGACCAAAGGTACTCATTTGTGTGAATAGGTGCAATTATTAACGGTGATTCTGTTATACCTTCTTGGTATAGCTTTGCACCGTCGGTGTACGGTGAGTGGACCCCTTCAAAATCATGTTTTAACAATAGAAATGCATACATGAAAAGCATGATTTGATACTTATGTTTTATGAAATACTTTATGAGATAGTATGCTTACTGAGGCTAGATTGAAGTATTACTATTTTTTCCTATAACCCATGTTCTTATAGAATATCCGATGGATGACGATATGAATATTAGAACATGTTTAGAACACCTCTTTGTAGTATAGATGATGGATGACTTTATACTACGAAGTTGTTTTTCAATATGTTTATGCTCAATGGTTTTGTACTTACCTAGTGGTCCTTTCCGCTACGGGACGTAGGGATAGATTCCGGTCCGTCCCGAGCGACGGTTTGGTGTTGGCATAGGGCCTGGAGTGTGTTTCCTCTGGCTATTTAGCACAGAGACGGGGAGCCGGCATGGGGCCTGCAGGTTATCGGACAATTCACTAGTGTTTATTACTTATACAAGTTATGAATTTGAGATATTGCACGGCATGCTAGGTTTCGGAAAATCTATTTTGATCATGATATATATGTTTTCATAAACCTGGGGGTTAGTATGTTGATAACTGTTTTATTATATTTATATCAAACTGGTCCACTCATGTTTGTTTTGCGCCCCCTTCAGGACCTACGAACGAGAATTACGATATAAGCTACGAGGCTTTTCCCTACCAGTGATCCAGTGCTATACTTCTTCTGCTTCGATATCTTTTGTAATATAGCACATCTCTATCTTAAATTCTGTTTGTACTCTGTAATAGACGTATGCTCTGACATTATGCGTTGATCCTAATGTTATTAATTAGAAGTTGATTTTTGTAGTTTTTTTTGTGGCTAGTCTTGCTGCCTGTTTTAGCTTCTTTATGAGTGTTTACTTAAAGTAATGGCTTTCGTCACCCTTTGGGTGTCGGCCAGCACGTGATCATCCCGATGTCACGAGGACATCGGGATCGGGGCGTGTCACTTATACTATTTGATTAAATTATGTTAGATATTAATATCATATGGAGTAGAAAAAACTTTAATTAAATATCTTTTTACATGCGGTTATGGGAAGAAAATCACTTTGGAAGCGGGGATGGACCTCCGCCCAACCGGTTGCAATCCTGCTATGAATCTACGATCAAAAGTCAAATTAATATGGCAACAGAAATCATGGCTGAAAAAAATGAGATGCAAACAATTACACCATCTTTCCAAACACTTAAAACGAATAGGGTTTAGACCAAACAAACATTTACATTGAAATCGAAAGTCTTTAGTAACAACTATAGCTAGCTAGTTATACCAGCTCTACTTCTTTTGGTAGACTGAAGGGTCAAACGCCAAAGCTATTTAAAAAAAAATTTAGATTTCACCGTAAATTAATTAACAAAATAGAGAGTACCCTAATTACTTATAAGTATATCCAAGTCCTTCTTTCTCTAATGTCGCATTCATATTATCAACATGTTTCCTCATGTGTGGCAAATATCAACACATCCGGTCATGTGTGGTAAATGTTTAAGCCTAACACATGGAACACCAATTGGGGTGACGTGTGGTTCACATGTGAGACAACTTGCTCTGATACCGTAAAGAAAATTGAAGTTTCACCAAAAAATCAATTGGCAATATAGGAAGTAGCCCAACTACTTGTAAACACATGCAAAGTCCTTTTTTCCCAATGTGGCATTTATATTCTCAACATTGCTACAAACATGGTCCAACTCACACATTTAGCTAGTTAATCCATCATTTAATTCCATGGATGTCAAAGTCAGTAAGCTGGCCTAAAATGGCCAACGTTCGGCCACAGCCGCTTAGGCTGCCAAAATCAATACGTAGTTAGGGCTTTGCCTAGAAGCAGTAAGTATTCGATTCAATTGATGTAGAACCTTTATTATAAGGAAGGCAAGCTCCTATGCTTTCATTCAAAGATTTAGTTACATCCTACTCTACAAGGTATCATCATCAGCAGAGCAAAATGGCCACAGAATCCGTCGAGGTTGAAACCGTTGAGAAGCAAACAGTTAAACCATCCTCCCAAACTCCTCATGTCCTTAGAAATTTTAAGCTCTCTCTTTTGGATCAGTTTTCTCCTGTAGCTTACATCCCATTCCTTCTCTTCTATCCCAATGTTGTTAGTACTACTACCAGTAACGTCAGTACTCATAGTGTCAAGGCCATCAATGAAAGATATCAGCATCTAATAAAATCATTATCTGAAATTCTCACTCACTACTACCCTTTAGCAGGAAGAATCAAAGGTAATGTCGTGATCGTATGTAATGATGATGGAGCTGAATTCGTGAAAGCCCATGTCAAGTGTTCCTTATCGGAGATTTTGGAACACCCAGATGCTGAAATGTTAAGACGATTACTTCCAATTGAGCCTGAGTCCACAGAAGCAGTCACGGGCAAGTTGCTTGCTGTGCAAGTCAATTTGTTTGAGTGTGGAGGAATGGCTATTGGATTGACCATTTCACATAAGATTGCTGATGCCTCAACTGTATGCACGTTCATCAATTCTTGGGCAGCAACAGCCCATAAATCCAACAAGGTAATGCTTCCCCAGTTTGGTGTTGCATCTCTTTTTCCACCCCTTGATTTCTCCGACTCGGAGCCACCATCCATGATATATGTTAAAGAAAAGTGCACAACTAGAAGGTATGTGTTTGATGACTCAAAGATTTCCGTTCTCCAATCTAAAGTATCCAGTTCACTTGTGCCCAAACCAACAAGGGTGGAAGCAATTTCAGCACTCATTTGGAAATGCGCGATTGAAGCATCGCCAAAGTCATCATCCAACACGTTGGGGTCTAGTCCAGTAAGGCCATCTATATTTCATCAAGCTGTGAACTTACGCAAAAGGGTTACACCGCCCTTGCCAGATAACTTGGCTGGGAATCTTCTTGTTTTATCTACATCAAAGGCCGAAGAAAGTACTACCAGTGTGTTTGATTTAAAAGACTTGGTTGCGAAAATCCGGGCCGGGATTGAAGAAATGAAAGAATGTGCTACAAAATTAGTTGATCCTAATGAGGCAATGCAAGTGTTGACCGAGTACCGCACAAACCTGATGAAAGATCAGGAGATTGAAACTTATAGCTGCACAAGTTGGTGTAGGTTTCCTTTCTATGGAGCGGATTTCGGATGGGGAATGCCATCATGGGTGAGTTTTGCTGGTTGTTCAGTTAAGAATTTATTTGGTTTCATGGACAAAAGAGACTGCAATGGGATTGAAACATGGTTGACCCTAAGCGAAGAAAGCATGGCATTATTTGAAAGCAAACCGAAGCTGCTAGCATATGCTTCTCTGAATACAAGGGTCACTTGCTGAGTTTGGCAAACAATCCTCTCGATGGTTTTTAATTTTGTGTTTTAAGTAAAACGGTGGATACATCACTAGCTTCCGGTGATATCCAACTTATTTTCTAGCCCCATAAGAAATTGATGGAATAAAGTAAAATGTTAGAAGTGTAGAAATAACTGTCATGGATTTTCAATTCTTTAACATGAACATTGTCTTTCTCATTCAGTGAATAAATTTTTAGGATAAATATCCATATTTATAGAAGATAATGGAACTATCATTAGTACTTGCTTAACGGTACTTGAATAAAGATTCCTCGTAAACTACTAGATTCCAATAAGTTTTCTCATCGATTGTACCTTTGCTATGTAGGCACCAAGATCTACCGATTCGAGATAGTGAGTTGGGAAAGCCTATTTACTATTCCATTTAATATACCTTTGCTATTTAATACACGCTACATCATGATTTTGAATCAGAAAAGAGATGTCAAGAAATGGTAGATCCATTCACTCTATCAATAACCGAGCCGTATCTGGTTTATCATAAGGGATTTGCCTTTTTCTATTGGATTGGATCAAAAACAATTCTTGAATGAGGTATTCAACTCCAAGGATGAATCGAAAAAGAAATCTTTATTGGTTCTACTACTATTTTTTATCAAGAGAATGAATCTTTTTATCAAATGATCAGAAAAAAAAAAAAAAAAGGTCCAGATCTCCTGCGGGAATGATTTGGAAGATCCAAAATAAATAAAAAAGTGGAATTTTCTAGAATTAGATAAGGATTCCAATGGAAGTCCTTCCGTTTCATCTATAATTGTGAATTGAATATTGAATAAATTTAAATCACAAAAAAAGAACAAAGAATGGTTCAAAAAAGGAAATAAAATGTAAAAAAAGAACAAAAGTCGTACAGATTCACAAAAACTCCGTGGGTAAGAACTCAAAAAGAGATATTGAAGTCGTTCTGCAAACTCAATAATATTATTAATTATTATTTCAATATTAAAATATTTCAATTCGGGATTCTAGTTAGTTTAACTGGATGAATCTTAGCGATGGAATAAATATCCATATTTATAGAAGATAATGGAACTATTAAAGGTAGCACATAAAGTACAAAATACAGTGAAAATTAAGGAAGAACGAGGAAATACAAGGCAAAGAAATAAACAAGGTATGATGGATGGGAATGAACTTGATGAGTGGCACTGGCAATGGAGAGACCACGAACCGTGCTTTTAGTCTTGTGTGGTCAACCTGGCCCGACTTTGATAGATGGCCCACTTGACCCAGATCGTAAGATGAATTATGATCTAAAAGTAATTAAGAGGTTTTATAAGCGATATTTTGCATTAATTTTATTTAAAATAAATAAGTAAATTCAAATTTGGATGTAGAAAAAACACTATGCTTTTGGCTCAGCCCAAACGTTAGTGGCAAGACGTAAAAAAAGATGTATGATGTAAATGAACTTGATCCATATTAAATAAAAATTTATACCATTACTACACATTGATCATGCTAATTTCATATTGTCCACTTATTCTATATATGGATTCATGACAAAATATTGATAAATCCCAATAGATGTAAAAACCATAATCAAGGGCAGAAGGTAATTTCATAGTTAGGGCCACCAAAGCATGTGAAAGTACTAGATTTGTCATCATAAGCATAACTATAAGCCTGGGGACACTGCTTCTTGAAGACCTTTGAAAAGTCAGTAGGAGGGCATGTATCAGGGGTTCCATAAGCGCCAGTGCAACAATATTGGGGCTGATTTAAAGCCAAACATGCACTTTTGCAGCCAATCACACTCCCATCCGATACTTTGTCGGACAACTCGGCAGGACAAACAGTGTTTATATTGGCCGCGCAGCTTGTGGATTTGCAGTCACCGGAGCCGCCTCTGGGGGCTAACTTAATGGGCAAGTTGAAGCCGTCAACAAGGCTAACATCGTAGAAATCTTGTCCTCCGTTGGTTGCTAGGGTTAACTCCACTAGGGATGCTGGTGGACTTGCACCGGCACCATTGCAGGGTATTTGGCCAGAGCCACAATCTCCTGTTGAGCATTTGAACTTTCCGGAGGAGTCTGTCGAGCAGTGAGAGCGGCCCCAGAAGCGGCCGGACCACGGAGCTTGGACAGTCAGTGATGTTGAAGCACCGGAGGCTAACTCAAATCCAGTGGAAAGTGATTGTGGGCCGCCGCCTCCGGTTAGGGTTCCTGGCCAAACTGTGTTGGGACATTTGTTTGTGAATGTGAACTTGGCCGAGTAAACCCCTGCATGCTCTGACACACAAAGTACAAGATCATCACTAAAATGCCACACTCATCAAATTATTATTTTTTGTTCACCAAATAATTAATCATCATACTTTTTTCATCAAATAAGACTTCTATTTTAATAAATTAAAGACATATTGTCATATCATGTGATGAACAAAATTTGGTAAGCGTGATTCATGACATATTATTTAAGATCAATGTTTTGTTGCATTCATATTGCAATAGTGATGGAAACCATGCATCGGACGTCTTGTTAGATATCCAGAAAATCAAATAGAGAAACAAAAACAGATATTGGAAGAACAAAGTTCGTGATATTATAATGGATAAAATGACGATATATATTTCGTGAAATTCTTGCCTGAGAGGAAGACTAATACAAGGCTGATTAACGCTTCAAATTTCATGTTGAGCGCTCCGATTGCTTTTTGAGATTTTTCCGTCTGATAAATAATAATTTAGTTATGAAGACGTACATGGTGTGTATATATATAAGTGAAAACTGCAAAAACCAACATAATTTTCAAATGATCATATATGGTAGGTTGACTTAATTTTCAAATGATTACATGAAACTGCTTTCATAGATTGCTGAATCTAAACGTTTCTTTTCTTTGTAAGTGATCCTTACCTATATAAAAGTGCGGTATGGAAAAAGTATCATACCGGAGAACAAACTTTTAGAAATAGTGATCTGAAAAATAGCACTTCTCGCACATGTCCATTAAAAAACATTTACTTCTTTCCTATTTAGTTTTCTTTGAACAACCCATGGGCATTTCCATGCCTCATCCATCCATCAAAAAAGGAAAGAACGCGTTTTCCTTTCATGACTCTGCTAATATTTCAAACCTATCTACAAACATATAATATGTACCTATATATTCTTCCAATTTTTTCAAACAATCTTGAAATATCCTGGATATGCTTTGACATTTCCACGAAAATATCCAAAAATTCAGGGAATGATATGGAAAGAGAGGGTGAAGTCTAAACTTCACCCCATATCCACCATATTTCCATAAATCAATTAATTTCCTCGATATTTTTGATATTTTCAAGAAATATCCGGTGTTTGCAGACAATTTACAAAAAGTTTGTAGGAAATATCCATGAGCCTATGCATTCTTTATTTTTTAATTTCTTTTTTTTATGGTATTAGTTTACTTCAATAAAACTTGTGCTGCTTTCATAATGGAAATTTCAATTAAGTTATGTACAATTTATTCTTTCTAGTAAAATGCTTTATTTGATTACTTGTCATTATCAAGAAGTTTTTCTTCTCACATATCACATACTTATTGTTTACACAATATATAATCATTAATTCTTAATTTATACGTGTGTTGTGGCTTCATATGACAATATTCCCTAAAAAATAATTTTAAATTTTCATGTTTTTTAGCAAATTTCCATTTTCATTGAAGGCAATCAATATCGATATACAATATGTCAATCGATATTTTCACAAATTTGCCTATCAATATTTCCACCGATACCAATATTTTAAACACTGAGTGTGATAACGTTAATGAGTTAAATAATTAGTTGTTAGGTGAGAGATGAATCGAAGGAATCGAACCCACACCATGGTGCATAAGCATGGTTGCTTTCTGATACTGCAATAAAACATCATCTAAGTGGTGCATAGTTAAATAATCAATATTTGTTTTTAATACAACGATATATTTACATTAAATAATATGAGGTCTGATTAAGCCACACAATGAGCGTTATAAATTTGTATATATAAAATCTCACATCGACTAACGGAGAGGGGGTGATGTGCCTTATATGTACATGCTCATCTCCCTATAGCGTGAGGCCTTTTGGGAATTCACTGGCTTCGGATTCCATCGGAACTCCGAAGTTAAGCGAGTTCGACCGAGAGCAATCTCAGGATGGGTGCCCCACTGGGAAGTTCTTGTCTGAGTTCCCAGAAACAAATATGTGAAGGAATAGTAAGCCCAAAGCAGACAATTTCGTGGTACGGCGGAGTCGAGACTGGGATGTGACAGAATGGTATAAAAGTCACTCTGCTATTCGGTGCGGATGTACTGGCGAGGATGTCGGGTTCCCTTTAAGTGGGGTGGATTGTAAGATCCCACATCGACCAACGGAGAGGGGGTGATGTGCCTTATATGTACATGATCCCCTCCCTATATCACGAGGCCTTTTGGGAACTCACTGGCTTCGGATTCCATCGAAACTCTGAAGTTAAGCGAGTTCGGCAAGAGCAATCCTAGGATGGGTGACCCACTGGGAAGTTCTCGTATGAGTTCCCAAAAACAAATCCGTGAGGGAATGGTAAGCCCAAAGTGGACAATATCGTGCTAGGCAGAGTTGAGACTAGGATGTGACAGTATAGCCATCGACGACAATCGAAACTCAAAATTGAGGAGGAATACCACTTTTCCGTAATAATTAGAGAAAAATAATCGATATTGTTAGTCACAAATTTTATCATCAAATGAATCCTATAAGATATAACTTTCTCATCCTAACCACAACAACATTCCTTCAAAATAGTAACTGTGACATATAAAAAGGCACATTTTCTTTAGCCAACATGAGTAACTTTTTGTACAAGAGCATCTTCAACAGGCTAGCTAAATGAGGAATTTTTCTATTTTACCTAGCCACAAGAGAAGAATGGAAGTCCAACAGGCTAGCTATCAAGCTAGCTATTATGACTTGATGAACAATTCCTAGCTATTGTGGCGGAGAGAGAAAT